TGTGAGATCATAAGTAGGAAGCAGCTTGCAAGGACTAGAGCCCTAGACAATGCCAAGTGAATGTTTTTCATTGTCAACTTTTGGGGTGGCAAGTGGACTTGTCCTTTCTTCCTGCATTCCATTTTGTTCTCTTTCTTTAGCTTAATTCTTGGGTCACACTCTCAGATGCTGAGTATCAGCTTGTCTGCCCTGTTTTCTGTGAGTGGTGCTGGGCAATTCTCCCATCCTGGAGTTTCCAGTCTGGAGCTGACTGAATGACCATCGATGTGGGAGGACTTTGACAGCTTGAGGGTTGGGGTGACAGGTTTAAGGCTTGAAGAGGACATTTTATCCAATCACCTCAACATAGTTTGACTAAGCTGTGTGCTCTCCTCTAGGCGTTTTTAGTCCCCAGAGGATGGATAGATCTGTTGTAGGCCTCTTTGGAAACACTGATGTGCATAATCTAAATTCATCTGTTCACTCAATATGATGTCCTCTTCTTTTTTTCTGCTTGCTTTTGATTCCTGTTGTCTGTGTGTGATCGTTACAGGTGTATGTAAATGGGTATATAGACCGGTGTGTTCAAAGACTACATAATGAAATCCCATATTGTCATCTGTTGCTTACTCTCTTGTTTCCTTGAACCAACGTCATTCACTGAACAGAAAATTATCAGTTTGGGCTATTCGCACTGGCCAGGACTCTGGATCTCCTGTTCTTCAATGGGTCCTTCTGTCTTGTTTTGTCTCATCTAATTGTCACAAGTTTTAATTGCTCAGAAAGAAAAAGGAGGGAGTAGTTTCTCCTGTGTTTATACACTTTTATTGCTTTGGTATACATGTGTTCTTTAATAAATAACAAAATCAAACAACACACCTATTTTAAAAATAAAAACTAGACTTCTTCCTTTTCACTACACAGAGCTAACACAAAGGAAATGTTTTGTTTGTCTCATTGGCTTCACAACACGGAATCAAACAGTGCATCTCCTCGCTGATATTGTGTTACTGACTATATCATGTGCATGGCTGTGTCTCAGTACAGATTCCCTCTCATAGTTGTGCAGAGTGCTGGGTTCCTGAAAAGCACTGCAGGTGATGTCACTGGCCTCCTTCTGACAGACATTGGGTCTGAATTCATCATATGCACTGTCATGTGTTGAAAACCTCCTGGGTGTTGACCATGGGTCACTCTCTTTCACTTGAGCTATTCAGGTATTCTCAGAGGAGCTAGGCTAAGTGTAGTGAAGAGAATATGATTAATTAACTAGCAACCTGTGCAATATGTACATTTGGGGATATATAAAGTTCATGGAAGGAAAAGTAAGTGCAGGCCATGGTAGCAGAGCCTGACTGAGTCTAAGAGCCTTGTACACAGCAGAGAAGTCCCATGGCCTCCCCTTGCAGCAGAAAAGGTTTTTGCTGCAAGACAGAAGTCCTCTCGTAGCCATCTAAGGTTCCGGAAGTATGTGTGTGTGTGTGTGTGTGTGTATGCATGTGTGTATGCGTGTGCATCTGTGTGTGCGTGCATGTGCCAGTGCACACATTTCTGTCCATCTGTGTGGGTGAGCCTCTCTCTGTGTGTGAATGCAGGCTATTATTTGGACATTAGTGTTCCCTTGGTTTCTGTATATAACCTTCTGTGGGTGACAGGTGTTTGTGTGCCCATATTTCCTGTCTGTGTAGGGGTAAATGCTTGTGTGTGTGTTGGGAGTATGGGCAGTATGGGTGCTTAAAAGCACTAGTGTGTATGAATGTGTAAACTCATGTGTGTGTTTTTCTATGAAATTACTCAATATATTTTCAATGATGATGGAGACCAACTAACTTTATTGAGAAAGTACTGTGCCTATCTCTCATGCCCACTGTGTTCATTTCTCATCCAACAAAAGTTAATCTTCTTCTCAATAGTATTCCTGGTGATTTCTCCTTGTATTAGAATTGGCAGGGGAACTGAACATGTTAGTGCATTACAGTGGGCTTGTATGGGTGCATAAATCTACTTGTGTATGTGTGTGCATGAGAGTGAGAATTCTCCCCTGAGAACACAATCTTCTAATGAACAGGAGCAAGAAAGCCTGGATGAAAGACTGAAGGACCTGCTGAATCAGAAGGAGCTGGTCACCCAGCAAAGGGACTTGGCAGAAAAGCTGCAACATCACTTCAGTGTCTATGAGATGAGGTAGGAGCCCAAACTGGGAGGAGTAGTTAGAACGATGGAGGTCACCTGTACCTGCATCTCTGTCCTTTTTTGGAATCTCCCCATCTGGATGGCTCTCATCCACAGGCAGTGAAAGACCACCTCAGGGTATTGTGCTCACCCTGTTAACAAGAATTTCTCCAGGAAACACTATGCTTTAGCCTTATGTTTCTGAGGAGTGTGTACCCCTTATTCCCTTCTGAGATCTCTGGTATCTTCTCAGAGTACCCTGTGTCTCCCCACAAATCTCCCTATGGTAGTCCTCAACCTAGCAGGAGGAAGGTTAGTTTTGAAGGACAGTGTGTGCTCTTGTTACTTAATTTTCCTTCCAGAACATCACCTTTAAGGAGAAGTTCCTACTTTTGGGTAGATCTACATGCAGCACACTCCTGCTGATTATAAGCTCTCTGCAGTGTGCATCTGTCTCCTGAGAAAAGATTTTTCTGGACATAAGATTATTTAGGGGTTCAGGTGTTGAACTCAGGTAGGTCTTTGTTCTGTAGGAATAATCAGAACCTTCACTGCTTTTATTTTGTAGGCTCTCTAGAGGGACTACATTCAGTTTCCCAGGTTGCTCATTCACCTGGTATCTAATCAGGGCCATGTACAGCTGCCCTGCACTGTCACTCAGACCTTGAAAACCTGTTATGTTTTTCTCAAAATATTGTATCTAGACAACTGGAGAAATGTGTGGATTTTTTTTTGTCCAGCACTGTGTAGTTCTCAGTTTGTCTTGTAGCAGATTTTAAAACACAGAATAAAATCCAGGCTAAGGTGCACTCTGACACTACTATTGATTACAGCTGGTTCAGGCTCAACAGCTGACACAGCAGGTCCCCACCAGGCCTGTTCCCTAACTGCCTTCCTCCTCTAGGTCAGAAAATCTCCAGCATGACCTGGAACATGTCACAGCCCAGAATGAGAGCCTCCTGCAGACAGAGCAACTGCAGCAGGAGCAGGAAGTATCACAGGCAAGTGAGCCACCACTGCATTCCAACCCGTGCAACCATGGCATTCATGGGGACTGGGGGCTCTTGACATTGGCTTCCAGTGTGAATAGGCCCTGATTTTGCCTAGCCTGTGACCCAGCCAGGATGCCTCTGGGACTGATTGCCTTTCCTTCTCACACAACAGCTTTGAGAGAACTGAGGAGGCCAAAGAAGCCACAGACCACTTGAACCCATGGCGTTCTCCACCCTAGGATGGAAGCCTCCTCAGAAGAATACACATTACAAAGTCCCATGGGGCATGGCTATACTTACTTTGAAAAGGCCTTTTACATTTGCGACTGCCTTCCTACCATGTGTCCAAGGCCAGCCACAGGCTGTTGACTGTGCGTCAAAGTGTTGCATGATCAACCTAACCCTTTAATCTTTTAATTTAGCAAGCTGCTTAGCATAATTTTTTGTTTGTTGTTTTGTTCGGTTTTATTAGCTTTGGGTTTTTTTGGTTTTCTTTGTTATGGTTTAAGGTTTTGAATTCATTTGTTCTTTCTTTGGTTCTTGTTGTTTGGTATTTTGATAAAATTATTTACTGGTTATATTGTGTGCCTATAATCCATTATTGGGTAAAATGATTGTATCTTTATTAAGAAAAATGTGATTCCACACTCTTCACTCTTAAGACCTAAAATGTGGTCATATACACAATGGAGTACTACTCAGCAGAGAAAAACAATGACATCATGAAGTTTGCAGGCAAATGGATGGATCTAGAAAAAAATCATCCTGACTGAGGTAACCCAAACTCAGAAAGACAAACATGGTATGTACTCACTCATAGGTGGGTACTAGATGTAAAACAAAGAAGTCTAGACTGCTACTAACAACTCCAAGGAGGCTATGTAGAAAACAGGACCCCAAGAAAGACACAGGGATCGCCCAACAACAGAGAAATGAATGAAATCTACATGAACAACATGGATGTGAATAGGGATAATGAAGGGCAAGGGTCAAAGGAAAGAGAGCTTAGGGGATCAGGAGATCCCAGCTGGATCAAGAACAGAGAGAGAGAACAAGGAATAAAAGACCATGATTAATGAAGATCACATGAGAATAGGGAGAAGCAAAGTGCTAGAGAGGGTCCCAGAAATCAACAAAGATACCCCCACAATAGACTACTGGCAATGGTCAAGAGACAGCCCAAACTCACCTACTCTGGTGATAGGATGGCCAAATACCCTAATTGTCATGCTAGAAATCCCATCCAATGACTGAGGGAACCAGATGAAGAAATCCACAGCCAGGCCCCAGGTTGAGCTCCAGGAGTACAATTGACAAGAAAGAGGAGGGTTTGTATGAGTGAGAATTGTTGAGACCAAGGTTGAAAAAAACACAGTGACAAATAGCCAAGCAAATGGAAACTCATGAACTATGAACCAATATCTGAGGAACCCCCAACTGGATCAGGCCCTCTGGATAAGTGAGGCAGTTGATTAGCTTCATCTGTTTGGGAGGCATCCAGGCAGTGGGACTGGCTCCTGTCCTCAGTGCATGAGCTGGCTGTTTGGAACTTCGGGCTTATACAGGGACACTTGGCTCAGGCTAGGAGGAGAGGACTGGACCTGTCTGGACTGAATCTACCAGGTTGAACTCAATCCTCAGGGGAGTCTTTGCCCTGGAGGATGTGGAAATGGGGGATGGGCTGGAGGGAAGGGGAGGGAGGTGCGGGAGGTAGAAGAACAAGGGAATCCGTGGCTGATATGTAAAATTAAAATAAATTATAAAATAAAAAAAGACCTATTTCTCTGGTCAGCATTGCTTTGGCTTCAAAGTTTGTCTAGCTTGTGTGCCTGCCAGGCTGCTCCATATATGATGGTCTTTCCTTCTCTGAGGGCAGGTCTCGAGGGAAATCTAAGGAGGCCAAAGAAGTCCCAGACATCTTTATCACATGACATTCTTCAGCCTTAGGGTTAAGGCCCCCTCAGATGAAGACACCCATTTTAGCTGTGATTTCACTAGTGAGACAAATACCAAGTGACCTCCAGGTGATCCAGTCCCCATCAGATCCATGCGTCTGTTGCTCAGTACTTCTGAAGAAAAGAAAGCATCACCAATGAGCTTGAGACACAAAAAACATGAGACAGGAGTTACTGAGAACCCTGACATTCAGCAGAATGTGGCTTCTGTGAGGGGTACTACAACATGGAGGGTAGAGATGTTGATGAGCAAGACTTTTTCTATCCGTTTAATGTCGATGTCTTTGGCAAGCTACTTAGCCCTCCTTATGTGATGGGAAATCTGTCATAGATTATCTTGAGGTCAAGTTCTTCTAGACAGACAGTTTCCAACTCTTCACTCTTAATATCATGTGTGATGTTTTCATCTTGTAACTCCAGAACCTCCTTTAACACCAGAACTCTGTGTGCCCATCTTAGGTTACATAGTGAGTTCCCAGCCAAGACAGGGATACACAGGGCTTTGCATGTAGATAGTGTTGCCAATTCAGTGTATACCCAATTCTTTTTTTTTTCCACTTATAAGAGTTTATTAGAGATAAAGGGATAGAGAGTGCACAGGCCTGTGGGAGAGACACGTGCATGGAGAAGAAAAGAGGAGAGGAGAGAGAAGAGAGAACCAGGAATATGGCGCTCCACTTTGAAAACCAGTTTGGGGCATGGCCAGGTCACGTCACTACTCCACACGTATGCGTAGATCACATGGTCACGTTGCGTGCTTATGTGGCCATGTAACATCACGGTTCCTGGTCACGCGAGACACCTTGACCTGGAAATGGCTATCTGGACTTGGAATTGGCTAGGGGGAAGTGTCTGCCTGGTATATGTGACCATGGGGGCGTGTTGTGAACCCTTCATTCCCGACTCTTTCCTTTTAAAAAAAGAAAAAAAATTGTGGTTGACTGGGTATGGGGGTGACGTTTCTCTCAAAGACTGCTTCCAGCTGAATAGTGGGCGTTGGTTGGCTCTTGGGGGGATGAGGGGTATCTTGTGAAGTCCGGGGATGATAGTGGAGGTCCTGGAATGACATTCTGCCGTCTCCTCGTTCTGCAGCTGTCCATCTGTGCTGTGGTTGGGGACCTCCTGTGCTGTGGCTGGGGACCTTCTGTTTGACAAGATACTGTTGACATAGAAACAGCTTAGAGAGAAAGAATCATTATTATTTTATTTTGGAGTTGGCATTTGTCTGAGGTAGATCTGGCCTGCCCAGAAAGAGGCATGTGACATTTACCTGAGGTAGATCTGGTCTTAGTACTCTGCTTAATTTCTATCTGAGACAAGCCTCATTAGAGGTAGTTCATTTAAGGCACCTGTTTTCCTTAGGCAAGCCTTGCTGGAGGTAGTTCATTTAAGGCACCTGTTTTCCTTATTAGCACTTAGGAAACACAGGTGATCAGTTGCTGAGTATTGAACAATGATAGATTGTTGTATTACATTATTCCTTACCGCCTGAATATTTTTGATGGTCCTTTTTGCCTCCGTCTCTGTGTGGCCCTGGTTGGGAAAGGAAGGGGTGATACCTTATTCCTCTGGAATTGGTGACAAGGCAGTGGATCCTGATGTCCTCTGGAGCTTGA